CGAGGGCATCTTCTGCTACCTAGTGATGGCCTTCGGCCTAAAGAACTCAGGGGCCACTTACACCCGGATGGTGGCCCGAGTCTTTCAGGCCGTCCTAGGGCGCACCATGGAGGCCTATGTTGACGACATGATCATAAAAAGCAAACAATCTTCCAACCATGCCGATGACCTCCGGGAAATCTTCGCCATCATGCAAAAGTTCAACCTTCGACTAAACCCGAAGAAGTGCACCTTCGGCATCCAAGGGGGCAAATTCTTAGGCTACATGGTGAGTCGAAGGGGTATTGAGGCCAATCCCGAGAAGATCCAGGCCATCATCAACATGGAGCCCCACGCAATGTGAAGGAAGTTCAACGGTTGACGGGCCGCCTGGCAGCCCTCAACCGCTTTCTATCTAAATCAGCGGAGAAGTCTTTACCCTTCTTCCAGATCATGAGGAAGACGGCTGGCTTTCAATGGACTTCAGAATGCCAGGAGGCTTTCGACGAGCTCAAACGATACCTATCTTCACCCCCTGTGCTCTCCAAACCAAAGGTAGGGGAGACCCTCTACCTCTACCTTGGGGTCAGCCAGGCAGCCATCAGCTCTATGCTCGTCCGGGAGGAAGACAGCATCCAACATGCCATCTTCTATGTAAGCAAGACCCTAAGGGAGGCCGAGCTCAGGTACTCCCCTGTGGAAAAAACAGTGTTAGCCATCGTTTGGACCGTCAAGAAGTTGGGCCACTACTTTCAGGCTCACCCGGTTCAGGTCCTCACTCATCAACCCCTCGGCGCCCTCATGAGGAGCCCCACCAGCTCCTCCCGCATGGTGAAATGGGCTATCTTCTTGAGCCAATACAACATTGACATCCGTCCGAGGCCTGCCATCAAGGGCCAAGCCCTGGCGGACTTTGTGACGGAGTGTACCGCAAGGGCAGCCACGGACGGGGAGCCCTCGGCTACCTCGGACGACTGGTGGACCCTCTACACCGACGGCTCCTCCGCAACAAAAGCATACAGGGGAGGGGTAGTCCTCATTACTCCTGAGGGCTTCAGAGCCTACTATGCAATCCGCTTCTCCTTCAAAGTCTCCAACAACGAGGCCGAGTATGAGGCCCTCCTATGTGGCCTTCGGCTGGCTGCCAACATGAAGGCTCGGCAGATCCATATCAAATGCGACTCCAAGTTGGTCGTTGGCCAAATCTCCGAGGAGTATGAGGCCAAGGAGGGAAGAATGAAACAGTACAAGGAGGCGGCCAAGGAGTTGCTTAAGGTATTTGAGGCACACTCTCTCACTCAAATACTGAGGGCTCAGAACTCCGAGGCCGACATACTATCTAAGTTCTCGGCCGACTCCCCCGAGCACATCTCTAAGATTGCTAAAATTGAGGAACTCAGTCTCTCGAGTATCCATGCGAGCCCCGTCATGAACATACAACAACGCCAAGAGGACTGGATCTCAGATATCATCACCTTCATCTCCACAAGGCAGCTACCCGAAATTGAGACCCGCGCTAAACTAGCAAAGCTGAGGGCTCCTAGTTACACCATCGAAGACGGAAGGCTCTACAAACGGTCTTACAACGGCACGCTACTTCGGTGCCTTCATCAAGATGAAGCCGAGGTCGCAATGGAGGAAGTGCACAGTGGCACTTGCTCAGCTCACCAGGGACCCTTCTCCATGTCCCGAAGGCTCATTCTCCAGGGCTACTTCTGGCCAACCATGGCCTGGGATTGTGCTGACCTTGCCCGAAGGTGCACCACATGCCAACATTTCCAGAAAGCCCCCGGCAGGCCAGCGGTCAACTATGCCCCCATCAGCACATCCGTCCCTTTTTCTCGATGGGGGATAGACCTTGTGGGCCCTCTGCCGAGGGGTACCTCCAACAACAGGTACATCATTGTGGCCATCGACTACTTTACCAAGTGGGTGGAGGCTGAGCCCCTCGTCAGCATCACAGAGGCGAAGTGCCGTCACTTCGTCCTCAAGAACATCCTCACAAGGTTTGGTGTCCCCCAGCAGATCATCTCCGACAACGGAACATAATTTGAGGCAGCCCCCTTCTGTGCCCTCCTGGAGGCATGGGGCATCAAACACACCTTCTCCTCCGTTGCCTACCCTCAAGGCAACGGGCAAGTAGAGAACGCCAACTGGATCTTGCTCGAGGGCCTCAAAAAGAAGCTGGAGGCCGAGGGCGGTGGCTGGGTAGAAGAACTCCACAACATCCTTTGGGCCTACCGCACCACCCCTCGGCGAGCAACAGGTGAAACACCCTTCTCCCTCTGCTACGGGTTTGAAGCCAAAGCTCCTACGGAAGTCACCCTTCCCACCCGGAGGGTGATCCAATATGACCCCGAGGTCAACGACAACAACATGACCCTCGACCTCCACCTCCTTTCAGAACGCCGGGAGCAAGCCTTCATCCGGGCAGAAAACTACCGAAGGCAAGTCAAAGGCTACATCGACGCCAAAGTTCGCACCCGAGAATTCCAAGTGGGAGACTATGTCCTCCGGAGGAGGGAAGCCAGCCAACCGACCGAGGGAGGCAAAATGGCACCAAAGTTCGAAGGTCCCTACATCATAGCAGCCATCATCAAACCTGGGACTTACAAGCTCAAACACCCCAACGGGAAAGAGGTCCCTAGGCATTGGAATGTACACCACTTAGTTAAATTTTATCAATAATGTAAGAGCGGCCAAGCCCTCATAACTAGTGAATGTACTATCATATGGCCCAAGGCCTCCAATTTTGAAGAATGAAGACACATTCAAGACACCAAGAACAACCACAAGACACTTATGAGCGGCCAAGCCCTCATACCAACTACAGGCCCAAGGCCTCACCACCAGAAGAACCCCCTCCGACACCAAGTGCCGAGGGCGGACACCACCAGCACCTCCAACAACGGTGAAAACACCAAGTGTTTTCGAACAAGACCCCTTGGTACCAAGTACCGAAGGTGGGAACTCCCATCACCGGCAACAAGAAACACCAAGTGTTTCATTTCAAGACCCTTCGGCACCCAGTGCCGGGGGTACACATCTCCACCATCAGCATCAAAAAGAAGAAGAACACCAAGTGTTGTTTCTAAAGCCGTACCCCACGAGGACGCATATACCGAAGGCGCCACCATCGGTGCCGGCGGCACGTAGTGCCCCCGGCCATTTGCAACTAGTGTGCAAATGAAAACCCTTCCTTGAAACGCTTTCCGCGTCACTACCCCCAGGGTATGACAGGCATGAGAAATGCCCAGGATTCGACTTTCAAAAACGGAACGCTTTCCGCGTCATCACCCCAAGGGTATGACATGCACGAGAAATGCCCAGGATTCGACTTCCAAACCGAAACGCTCCCCGCGCCACCACCCCAAGGGTGTGGCAGGCCACGGACTATGTCTAGCGCCGAGGGGACGACTTTCAAAACTGAGGCGCTTTCCGCGCCATCCCCCAAGGGGAGACAGGTTACAGACCACCATATCTTGTGCCCAGGAAACGGCCCTCGATCCCCTCAGAACTCAGAAGGTTAACCCGAGGGAGGAGAGCCATTGGTGTATTCTGATGGTCTCCTGATAGGCCCAGCCTTACCAAGAAACCAAGTTTCTTGATGCCTTCCTTTCACCACCAACCAAAAAAAGGGGGGGGGGGGGTGAAGGGGAGTAGACTCATCGAGAAATCAGTGAGTACAACACTCCAACGAATCACAACATACCGAGGGCTCCCTACGGGAACACCTCCGGTAACTGAAGGCTCCTATTTCCCGAAGGTTACTACTCAACAATACAAAGGATTTGGACTGTCTCAAGTACACTAAACGGCTAAGTTCACCTCAAATAAGTGCCGAGGGCACCTACCATCGGTCATCCATTGCTACCGAGGGGTCCTATCCTGTAAAAGGGGATGCAATTGACTAAGGCAGCTCAAGAACCCTTCAAGAGAATGTCGAGGGCACCTATATCCCACACTTTTGGGAAATGACTACAGCCGGAGGCTCACATATCACCCAACAACCGAAGGCATCTGTTACAAATCATCAAAGGCCAACCAAGGGGGCTTACTCCAAAATAATGTCCCCCCCGGCCTGATCAATATTTCAACTGAGGGACCATGATAGCCGAAGGCTACGTGATGCAACAGCACTTAGAAAATTTTCTAAGTCCTACATTTATGGCCCTCGATCAAATATTCACACATCAGAAAGGAAGCTACCACCCGAGGGCTTCCAATGGGAAACTACACTTAGAAATTTGTCTAAGTCCTAAGGATTGGGTTCTCAACCTAATCATCACACATCAATTGAGCTACAAACACCCGAAGGCCCTATGGTGTGCTACACTTAGAAAAAATTTCTAAGTCCTACACTCAAATCTCCATGCTGCCCGAGGGGACATGCGGTTGAAGACTTGGTGAAGCTGTACTGAGAAAATTTTTCTAAGCCCTACATGCTTTGACCCTCAGTCAAATCTCCATGCTACCCGATGGCTCCTACTTCATACATGCTACGCTTAGAAAAATTTCTATGTCCTTCAAGTTCTTATCCTCGGTGACAAGCTTCTAAGTCTCGAATCTCCCTGCAGCCCGAGGGGTCACACGATTGAAGGCTTGGTGAGACTACACTTAGAAATATTTTCTAAGTGCTAACTATTGTTGGGCCCTCGGTCATATATCCAGCGAGGGGTGCCCAACTACCGAAGGCTACAACTGTATTCAAACACTTAGAGAAATTTTCTAAGTCCTAAGCACCTCACCCCCGGTCATCTCATAAAGGCTGCATAGAACCGGAGGGAAGGATCAGCCGGGGGCCAACAGATGAACGAACACTTAGAAATATTTCTAAGTCCTGAACATTGTGCCCTCGGTGAAAGTTTCAACTAACGAGAACTACTAGTAGCCGAGGGCTACAAGAAGCACTACCCTTAGAAGAATATATCCTAAGTCCTAAACATACATTCAAAGGAGCAAAGGCATACATTCAAAACGAAACGAGGGCATACATTCAAGGAAAAACACTCGGAGGAAATGAACTATGCAAAAACCCCGAAGGCAAACATTCATTCATTCAGGGAGGAGTTAAAGTACATATGTTACAATATGGCCGAGGCCGAGAGTACACGAATAGTCATTACAAAAAAAGCAAAGATATTCAAAAGCTACTAAGTGCAAGTGTTTTCTTCTGCCGTGGTCTCCTCGGCGGGCTTCGAGGTGACCTCCTCCCCGATGGCGTCCTCGGCATCACCATCGCCGAATCCCCCCATCATCATGGAGTCATGGATCACGGGCCTCTCTTCGCCCGGGGGGAGGGGGTTTCTCACGTCTGGCTGCAAAGGAGGAAGGCCATACGCTGAGGGGTCGAATTCCTCGAGGGAGACTTGGAAGTGTCCGGCCAGCCGCCGATACACAAGGTGCTGAGTGAAGAATTCACCCCCTTGGTAGTAAATATCTCCCTTCTCCGCCATCCAGTCTCCCCCGGGGCCCTTCACCCAGTCGTCTACTGATGACTCCACGACCGAGGCCACCCACTGCCGCCTATCTTCGGCTTTCCAGCCCTCGGCCATGAATTCGGCGACAGCTTCTTCTCGGGCTTTGGCGATGGCCTCGGCCTTAGCTGTCTCCGCCTCCTCGGCAGCTTTCTTGGCTGCCCTCTCAGCCTCCTGCCCGACTTCCTCCGCTGCAGCTTTGCCCTCGGCAGCCTTCCGGAGATCTTCCTCCAGCATTGCCATCTGCTTCACGGCCTCGGAGTTCTTCAGGACGAGCTCCTTCATCTCCCGGTCCTGTTCCGCCTTCCGGAGGCACCATTGCTCAAGCCTCCGCGCGTGCTCCCCGAGGGCTATGCAAGCCTGAAGAACAACAGAAGGAGGGATCAGATTAACATGAAAAGAACATTGAAAGTAAAACGCAAAACCTAAGGGAGCAAACTTACAGTTAGCGAAGACTGGAGGATCCTGTTCTCGAGGGCCTCGTCATCGTAAGTGGGGAGGGTAACCTTGTCCATCACCGAGGTAATCCCCCTCAGGAAAGATTTCGGCTCCGCCGAGCCGTGTAGAACAGAAGCCCCCCGGGGCCAGAGAGAGCTGCAGGATCTTCCGAGGGGGGCTTCTCAGGGGAGGAATGGATTGGGCCATCACCGCAGTATCAACCGGGGGGTCCGGAGAGGGGCGGTCCTCGATGACCACCAAGGGGGCATCCTGGGCGACAGTGCCCCCTGTGCCCCGCTGCTTCTTGGCCGGGGCTCAACCACCTTGCCCCCCTTCTTCTTCGTGGCCCCCTCCGCCACACCAACGATCCCCTCCACAGCAGAGGGCTCCGGGACCTCTTTTTGGAAGAAGGCTCCCACGGGCGGTTGGACCGAAGGGTCCTTCTTTTGGGCCTGGGACTTGCCTTTCTTCTTCTTCAGGGCGAAGAGTTTGTCGGCATCCATGTTAACTCCTGCAAACAAAAAACAAAAGGGTCAGACCGAAGGGGAAAAGAGCGAAAGAAAAGAAAAGGGGGAAATCCTAAGTACAAAAAAAAAAGAAAAAAGGGGGGAAGCCCTCGGAGACTACCTCCTGTCAGCACAGGATACTTCTCGTCTGTTTCGCCAAGGAAGCGATATCTGCGGAAGCCGAGGGCAAAGAGCTCCTTGTCAGCAGTGAAGTCCTTGATGGACACTTGCTTCGTGCGGCCCGCCGGAATCTTGGCTATTATCGAGCCATCCTTCTCCAAAGCAGCGCTTCCGACCTTCGGATGCCGACGAAAGCGATCCCTAAGTTCCATCGGGAAAGGGCTCTCGGCAATCCTGACATAGCACCACCTCTCCTTCCAGCCTTTGTTGGACGAGGGCGCTTCTGTGAATAACTTCCACCGAGCCACCTGTTGCAGATTGGCGAATCCCTCAGCGTTCGCATGACCCCCTCGGCAGAGGTTGAAGCTCTGGAAAAACAGGTCCAGGCTGGGGGTCACCCCTCGGGCCCGGCAGAGATTCAGAAAGCCCGCCACGTAGGAGTGGCTGTTGGGTGTCAGCTGGTAGGGGACCAAGCCCACATACCGGAGATATTCCCGAAGGAATGGGTGCAGGGGGAACCGGAGCCCCATTGACACCGACAGGATGTGCACAGCAATGCACCCCTCGAGGGCCCGGGAAAGAACGTCGTCTGGGCCCGACGCCACCACCACAACCGAGGGCCCCACGTGCAGCTGGGTCACGTATATGTCCTCCCTATCAGCCTTCGACCCTATCTCCAGGGCAGCAGTATTTAGCCAGGAGTACCCCTCGGGCACGTCTATGGGCTTCCCCTGGTCAGCAGCGACAATTTTCTTCTTAGGGGCGGTTTTCTTTTTCCCCGATTGGTTCCCGGGGGCCACTCTCATCGGCGTCGGGTTGAGGGGCCGAGAGCTCCCTGCTTCACCAGCACCCCGAGGGGGAAGGACGGTCACGGTCACCTTCATCCTCTCCTTTTCTTCTTCCTCCTCTGCAACTTGTACGACGAGGGCAAGCTCTTCGTCCTCCGCCTCCTGTTCGAAGCCCTCTGTAACACCCCTAAATTTCCCGCCCAAAACATTGATATATTTAAAAGAAATACTTTATTCATTCATCAAAGAGTTGAAGAAATACAGCGGAAGTCTAAAAGGGAAATGAGTGTTACCGCCACATTCGGTCATCTCTTAACCGAATGCACAGGCAACTCAAAGTAAAACAACAAAAACTAATGTAATAATAAGTAAATGTTTGTTTTATGACTAGATTTAACTAAGGCATCTTCTAATTCGCACTCAAGCTCGAGCAATCCGTCAATCCACATAGGTATCCAACTCATCACGTGATAAAATTTAAGGGAGAAGAGAGAGACAAGAAAAATAACAAAAATTAGCTTTAGAGCTAAGTAAGTACTACCCAACCCCGTAAAATAATCAGGTTTGACTAAAAATAGATTTTTATATAATATCATATAAAAATGACGCACTCCACCAAAATATTTTTTAAAATTACTTCTTTACTAAAATCCTCAACTTCTCTTGGAAAATCTCTTAGTAATTCTTCTCTTTAAACTTCTTAAGAAAATCACTTCTTCTCTAACTTCCTAGTAATTTAGAAGGGCGGTGCTTAACCTTTCGGTAGAGCCCGGTGGACCGTGGTTACGGACGGCCACCCCGAACAAGTGCCGGTTCCACAACTGCTCTGTTGGAAACGAAACGACTACCTTAAGTGTGCACACCCCCTAAAAGGGATTCCAAGCCCTCCGAGTAGTAAGTCATCCCGAGTGGTCGGAACCCAACCACCCCAATTCTAAAATTCTTGAATGATTAGGGACTACTACTATAACATCTTCTTAAAAGGGATCATAGATCCAAATCTCACTTAAAAGGGATCATAGATCCAAATCTTACTTAAAAGGGATCATAGATCCAAACTGTACTTCTTAGTAGTAGTAGCTCTAATCACCCTCCACATTTATCCGGATGTGGAAAAACCGACACCTCGGATTAATCCCGAGATGCTATCTTCTTATGAAAATGTAAATTTTATCTTTGCTTAACAATACTTCAAAAATACTTCTTAATTCCTCTAAAAAGTCTTGAAGGTATTTAAAAATATTTAATACCCCAAAAATATTTGATTTACACTTCTTAACTACCATATATATAATATCTTCTCAAAATCACATACACAAAATTCACAAATCACACTTAATCACATAATGCATAATAAGCATATAATACGAGGAAACAATTTTGGATTGGCAGAGAAACTTACCTTAAGTCCTGTTGCTCCTAGTTATCATCCTCTAATCCGGTCTCTAGATAATCACCTTTTTAATTAAATATGATAAAATTAGTCACTTATTCTATTTGTAATTACCTTACCCGGTTTTCTCCTTTTATTTTATTATTCGAATTTATTAACTTAATTTATTAATTATCCGAATTTATTTGATTACTCACTTTCTATTAATAAAATTACCTTAATAATTTTATCCATTAATTTTCAATATTTGAAATAAAATATCTGAATATAATTGACTACAACATCCAATTTTTATTCAATAATCACTATTAATATTAATATTTACTTATTTAATTACTTAACTAGTTTTATATGGCCTAATTTAAATAAATAGACTAAAAATCGACTTTATAAATTAGTAATCGTCCATAAATATATTTTGGGTCTATATTCGACCTAGGTTGTCCAGATATCTATTTTATAATTATCTTCCATAATTATTCCTTTAATTTCATATATGTATTAACCGGTTCAATTACAATTAAATATACTAAATCTTAATATTTATTAAATATAAATGGTCCATAAGGTCCTAGTTAGTCATATATTTATCCTAGTTTACTCCAATATTTATTTCATAATTATTTTCGTTATTTAGTTAATTATTTACTAAATGTGTATAAATTGGCCCAATTACAATTAAATCAATTAAAAATAGTTAATAATATTATTTTTCAATTCTGATTGGTCCGAATATGTATATTTATACTAGGTATTTAATTTATATTTTTCCAGATTTTATTTATTTGATTTACTATTTTATTTTTAATTTTTATTAAAACTGGGCCGAACTGGCCCATTAAACTGACCCGGCCCAAGAGTTCTGACCCAGACAACTGGGTCATCTTCTCCAGGTCGATTCCGGCGACTTCGCCGGAAACTAGAAAACTCCGACGAGCTATAACTTGACTTACAGGTAACGGATTTCGACGATTCAAGTTGCAAAATGATCCTTGCGGCGAGACGAAGCTCCTCCTTCTTCTCCGTTTTCCGTCGAAATGTTTTTTCTCCGGCGAAACTCCGGCAAAGCTTTTCTCGCTCGTTTCACGACCGTTTTCGACGATTCTTTTTCCGTTAGATTCGTATTACGAAGGGGAAGGTTTGGGAAGTATTTTCGCGGCTTGGTTCTGGCTAAAACGATAGGTCGCAATTTTTATATATATATATATATATATATATATATATATATATATATACGTATATATGCATGTATATTTCGTAGCTTTTTGGGATGAAGAAAACGTAGGTTCTGGTCTATTAATTATAGGGAAAGATGAGGGTTTTAGGCTGAGATGTTAGAGTTGGAGTTGGAGTTTAATCAATTTCGTTTTTTTTTTAATGTTGCCGGCCAAAAACCTTCCCGGAGTAAAATACGTATTGAAGTAGGAGTTCAATTTCGTTTTTTGTTGTTGTTTTAGTTCGTTTAGGAATATTATTAGTAGTATACTTATTATAGTAGGAGTATTATAATTATATTTAGTTATATACTAGGTTATACGTAGGTTTAGTATTATTACTACGTATGTTATTATTATTATTACGTACGTGTATATATATATATATATATATATATATATATATATATATATATATATATATATATATATATGTATTATGAGTATTTTAATTATTTAGTTTATACATTGTATATTATACAACCTAAAATAGTTATATAAAAATTAATTTTATACTAAAACATAACTTCTATTATCGGGTCATTTTTATCTGATTAAAAAAGTCGTAAACTTGGAAATTTTTATCTGATTAGAATGTTACAACTGTTGAATTTTTGTCTGACTCAATTAATAATTAAAATGTTATTTTCGTAATATTTTATCTGATTAATAAAAATTATTATTATTATTATATTTTTTTTTATTTAAATTTTTGAAGTGTCACATTCTACCCTCCTTAAAAGATGTTTCGTCCCGAAACATTAACTTAATCTAAGTACTCAAATTCTTAAGTATTACACCCTCGGCTTCGACTTCAGCCATCAGGTCTTTCTGCACCTCTATAGCCATCGCGACGTCCTCTTGGGCCGAGGGCTGCTCACTTGAGGACCCAACGTCTGAGAAGCTCTCCTCTTCCACCGAGGGATCCCTCGATATGTCATGGGAGTCACTCTGGGAAGACATCTTGGCTATAGTTCGAGGGCTCGGAAACGCTAGTGTTTTCTAAAAAATTCTATCTCCTAGCCTAAGGGCACAAGGCACAACTAACTACAACGAGAAGAGCAGGGGGAACTGACCTTAAGGCAGGGATTGATCGAGGGCTGCTGTTTCTCTCTCTAGAAATTTTGGCAGAGCTTCGTTATAAGGATTTCGCACAGGGGGAAGGAAGCCGGCCATGGGGTATTTATAGGCGCTGGAATCCGGACTTGGGCCTGGAAACCGGGCCTCCGGTTGGACTGTCATCATTACACGCCGTGTCTTCGCCCAATCGGTGACGCCCACCCACGGGCAGCCAACGAGCACGCACCACGTGGCAACCCCCCTCCAACGGCTATATCCGGATGGTACATATTCCAACGGCTATATTTCCAACGGCTGTATTCTGGGAGCCCCCGAGTACACTTACCCAGAGACGCTCCCGGGTTGTGCCCCACACAGTACGTAACAGACGCCTTTGGGATCACTCCTTCAGAAGCCCAAGGCTTTATATCAGGCCACCCCTCGGGGATCCCCCCTCAGCGCTGTAAAGGCGGGGTAGCCCCCGGGGAATATGCCTCATTGACGAATAGCCTACAACACACAGGCAATGGGAGCCCTCGGATATCCTCATCACCAAATAATCAACAAACAGGGGACCCCCGGTAACAACTCGACTGCTACCCACATTCATCACGCCCTCGATCCCCAGATTGAGGGACTCCCCTTCGGCACCTCCCAGGACATCAGCAACAAGCCTCCGGCTAATCAACGCATGAGCCCTCAGAACAAGGAGAGCCTTCGGCGTTACCATCATTCTCCATTTTGAACCAAGGTTTCACATTTTCGATTCATCATTGGGGGAATTCGGTGCACTCTTTTTCCCTCATTAGGATTTTTTCCCATAGGGTTTTTCCTAATGAGGTTTTTAACGAGGCATCCCCCCCAAAATGAAACGAAAAGCGTCAGCCTTCGGCCCACAACAGCAACGCAACTACTTTACTCCTTTTCACCACTTTGCAAGTGCCTCAAGGAGTGGGGGACAGGAGGACCCCCTCGGGAAAAATCACAAAAATACAAACATGACCCCTCAAGTCCCGACATGTGGGTAACTGAGGGACTGCCCTCGGCAGAATAAACAAACAACAAACTACCCACAACTCTACAAACTACGAACGGAACAACGGCAGGGGACAAACACAAATTACTCCTTTTCCCTCAAGTACCTTTCGGCAAAAGGAGTGAGGGACTCCTGATGGAGTACATGGCCCGGGAACCCCCGGCCCACAGACTCCTACTACTCCAGTAAAGGCCCAACAGGCCCAGAAGGCTCAACATGCCCAAATCACGGCGCCCAGAGTACCAAGCAACCCACAATGCGCACCAGGGGTGCCTTCGGCCCCCTGGCCGAAGGCTCTAACTCTCACAGGAGGGCCAGGACAGCAAAACGAAGTTACTGGGAAAAACGGCAAAAATCAGTAGCCCTCGGCACCTGGAGCCCTCGGCACCAAGGGGGTCCCCAGTACTAGGAGCCCTCGGCTAGTCCTCTACAGCCGAGGGCACCCTGCCCGACATGATATCCACACCACATGCGTACAGATCACCGTGCCCTGTACAAAAAGACTGGTGTCCTTCCCTTGCACAGAAAGACTGAGTTATTAAAATGAAATGAGCACATTTAATCAGACGATCCACTACTACTAGAATGGTGTCCTTCCCTTGAAACGTATGTAACCCCTCTATGAAGTCCATAGAGATGTTAGTCTAGGTAGCTTCAGGTATGGGAAGGGGTTGTAAACTTCCGGCTACGGCTTGTATGAGGGGTTATTCTGCTGACAAATTCTACTTTCTTGAATAAATGCTTTGGAATTTAAAGTACAATAAAATAACTTCCTAATTATTTTGATAATAATTCCCTAAACATAAATGATAACTAATTCATGTATTTCTAACAAAAGTTTAGTAATAATTTAATTTGTGTTATGAATTAATATAATTTTATGTGTGATTCTTATGTTCTTAACTTCATGTATAGTTCTTGAATTTTGTTGCACAAAACGAAAAACAAATTATTGAAATTTCAATGGATTGGAGAACTTTGGACCAGAAAGTTGTTATGATTACAACCATGTCTCTTCTTTTCGATACGAGAGGCGAGACCGGGATTTGGGCAGGCAATGACACTCATATATCGGGCTGATATTAGCATGTTAGTTCTCACATGCGACCGCAACATTATTCACTGTTTTGATAAAATTGATCCATATTTTGCTCAAATGTATCTGGAAACTGAACAAATAATCTTGTATGCGGCAGTGCTCACTTTAAAATAGGTAACAGAAAAAGAGGTTGCAATTTTACATTGCACTTTGCCCTCACCTAGAGCAACGGTAGATGCTGAATTTTCTCTTGATTTAGAAATAGGTATGAAGCTCTATATGAGTGATCATACCTATGGGTATCAACGACTTGCTCACACTCGTGGAACGTTGAGTACACCAGACTTGGCAAACAATCTCAGTTATGTTTATTAGAACATGATTTGCACTGAAAAAGGAGCAGTTCAGGAGCCGCCCCAGTGGATGTCAGTGGGAAGATTGTGGGTTTCCACATTGCAGCAATTAATGTTCATCCAATGTCGAATTATCTGACACTTGAAATAGATCTTGACGGAGAGGTGAAGATGATAGTAGTGTTTCAAGAGGTGATAAGGGTTTTCAAGGACTTATACATGCGACATTATGACGAGAAATGCATAAGACATATTGATGTTGCAAATCCATCCATTTGGTTGCAACATATTGCAAAAAGTCATCAAACTAGGTTATCAATGATGCCTACTTTAAATCACAAGACACCGTGTCGAACACTTGATCTTCCGAGATCTAGCTCAAATCCAGATAAGGGTTCTAGCTCACATTACTTGTTGGATTCAGATTACTTGTTGGATGGTTATCCTGATCTGCTCCCGCCTTTCGATTCTGATGATGTTGGTCCCTACAATCAATTTCTAGGAGATTTGTGATGAGATTTTTTTAACCTAATTTGATCTCTACCAACGCTTATTATTCTACATTTTGACAATCACTTCATTAAGGCGGGAACGTTTCTATATTTATTTCTGGGAGTAGTACAAAAACTTTGGTTTTGCACATGTGGACATAGAGTCCTGATGAGTGTATTTTTGTTCAAACTTTGATTTCTGTAGTTGCGACAGGAGCATTAGAGCTATAACCTAATTTGCTGACTTTTTGCAATATGTTGCAACCAAATGGATGAATTTAGAGGATCGATATGTCCAATGCATTCCTCGTCATAACCCCGCATGTATAAGTCCTTGATAACCTTTAACATCTCTTGAACCATTACAGTCATCTCCATCAAGATCTATTTCAAGTGCCGGATAATTCGACGTAACACGAACTTCAATGGGTGCAATGTGCACACCCACAATCTTCCCACTGACATCCACTAGGCCAGCTCCTGAACAGCTCTTACCTGAGTGTAAGTCATGTTCCAAAAAACATAATCCGAGATTGTTTGCCAAGTCTGGTTTATTCAACGTTCCACGAGTGTGATCAAGTCGTTGATACCCATAGGTATTAGCACTCATATAGAGTTCCATAACTATTTCTAAATAAAGAGAAAATTCAGCATCTACCGTTGCTCTAGGTGAGGGCAAAGTGCAATGTAATTTTGCAACCTCTTTTTTTGCTTCCTATTTTAAAACGAGCACTGCCGCATACATGATTATTTTTTCATTTTCGAGATGCACTTGAGCAAAATATGGATCAATTTCATCAAAACAGTGAATAATGTTGCGGCCGCATGTGGGAAGGGAACTAACATGCTACTATCAGCTCGATATATGATGGTGCCGGTGCCTGCCCAAATCCCGGTCTCGCCTCTCGTATGGGAAAGAAGAGACATGGTTGTAATCTTAACAACTTTTGGGTCCAAAGTTCTCCTATCTTTTTAAATTTCAATAATTTTTTTTCGTTTTCTGCAACAAAATTCAAAAACTAGGAATGAAGTTAAGAACATAAGAATCACACATAAAATTATATTACCTCATTTTGGCCATCTGTTTGAGGATGGTAGGGAGTAGATAACAAAAGATCCACCTACTATAATTTGAACAACTTTTGCCAAAATTTACTTGGGGGGATCTTATATCTGTGACAAACTAGTGTTTTAGGCATGTCATATATAACTTAAAAGCATTATCCATATATGCTTTAGCTACTGTGCTTGCACAGAAAGGATGAGTTATTAAAATGAAATGAGCACATTTAATCAGACGATCCACTACTACTAGAATGGTGTCCTTCCCTTGAAACATATGTAACCCCTTTATGAAGTCCATAGAGATGTTAGTCCAGGTAGCTTCAGGAATGGGAAGGGGTTGTAAACTTCCGGCTACGGCTTGTATAAGGGGTTTATTCTGCTGACAAATTCTACATTCTTGAATAAATGCTTTGGAATTTAAAGTACAATAAAATAACTTTCTAATTATTTTGATAATAATTCCCTAAACATAAATGATAACTAATTCATGTATTTCTAACAAAAGTTTAGTAATAATTTAATTTGTGTTATGAATTAATATAATTTTATGTGTGATTCTTATATTCTTAACTTCATGTATAGTTCTTGAATTTTGTTGCACAAAACGAAAAAAAAATTATTGAAATTTCAATGGATTGGAGAACTTTGGACCAGAAAGTTGTTAGGATTACAACCATGTCTCTTCTTTTCGATACGAGAGGCGAAACCGGGATTTGGGCAGGCAATGACACTCATATATCGGGCTGATATTAGCATGTTAGTTCTCACATGCGATCGCAACATTATTCACTGTTTTGATAAAATTGATCCATATTTTGCTCAAGTGCATCTAGAAACTGAACAAATAATCTTGTATTCGGCAGTGCTCACTTTAAAATAGGTAGCAGAAAAAGAGGTTGCAATTTTACATTGCACTTTGCCCTCACCTAGAGCAACGGTAGATGCTGAATTTTCTCTTGATTTAGAAATAGGTATGAAGCTCTATATGAGTGATCATACCTATGGGTATCAACGACTTGCTCACACTCGTGGAACGTTGAGTACACCAGACTTGGCAAACAATCTCAGTTATGTTTATTAGAACATGATTTGCACTGAAAAGGAGCAGTTCAGGAGCCGTCCCAGTGGATGTCAGTGGGAAGATTGTGGGTTTCCACATTGCAGCAATTGAAGTTCATCCAACGTCGAATTATCTGACACTTGAAATAGATCTTGATGGAGAGGTGAAGATGATAGTAGTGCTTCAAGAGGTGATAAGGGTTTTCAAGGATTTATACATGCGACATTATGACGAGGAATGCATTAGACATATCGATGTTGCAAATCCATCCATTTGGTTGCAACATATTGCAAAAAGTCATCAAACTAGGTTATCAATGATGCCTACTTTGAATCACAAGACACCGTGTCGAACACTTGATCTTCCGAGATCTAGCTCAAATCCAGATAAGGGTTCTAGCTCACATTACTTGTTGCATTCAGATTACTTGTTGGATGGGTATCCTGATCTGCTCCCGCCTTTCGATTCTGATTCTGTTGGTCCCTACAATCAATTTCTAGGAGATTTGTGATGAGATTTTTTTTAACCTAATTAGATTCTACCAACGCTTATTATTCTACATTTTGACAATCACTTCATTAAGGCGGGAACGTTTCTATATTTATTTCTGGGAGTAGTACAAAAACTTTGATTTTGCACATGTGGACATAGAGTCCTGATGAGTGTATTTTTGTTCAAACTTTGATTTCTGTAGTTGCGACAGGAGCATTAGAGCTATAACCTAATTTGCTGACTTTTTGCAATATGTTGCAACCAAATGGATGAATTTGGAGCATCGATATGTCCAATGCATTCCTCGTCATAACCCCGCATGTATAAGTCCTTGATAACCCTTAACATCTCTTGAACCATTACTGTCATCTTCATCTCTCCATCAAGATCTATTTCAAGTGCCGGATAATTCGACGTAACACGAACTTCAATTGGTGCAATGTGGACACTCACAATCTTCCCACTGACATCCACTAGGCCAGCTCCTGAACTGCTCTTACCTGACTGTTAGTCATGTTCCAAAAAACATAATCCGAGATTGTTTGCCAAGTCTGGTGTATTCAACGTTCCACGAGTGTGATCAAGTCGTTGATACCCATAGGTATAAGCACTCATATAGAGTTCCATAACTATTTCTAAATCAAGAGAAAATTCAGCATCTACCGTTGCTCTAGGTGAGGGCAAAGTGCAATGTAAATTTGCAACCTCTTTTTTTGCTTCCTGTTTTAAAGCGAGCACTGCCGCATACATGATTATTTTTTCATTTTCGAGATGCACTTGAGCAAAATATGGATCAATTTCATCAAAACAGTGAATAATGTTGCGGCCGCATGTGGGAAGGGAACTAACATGCTACTATCAGCCCGATATATGATGGTGCCGGTGCCTGCCCAAATCCCGGTCTCGCCTCTCGTATCGGAAAGAAGAGACATGATTGTAATCTTAACAACTTTTGGGTCCAAAGTTCTCCTATCTTTTTAAATTTCAATAATTTTTTTTCGTTTTCTGCAACAAAAATCAAGAACTAGGAATGAAGTTAAGAACATAAGAATCACACATAAAATTATATTACCTCATTTTGGCCATCTGTTTGAGGATGGTAGGGAGTAGATAACAAAAGATCCACCTACCATAATTTGAACAACTTTTGCCAAAATTTACTCGGGGGGATCTTATATCTGTGACAAACTAGTGTTTTAGGCATGTCATATATAACTTAAAAGCATTATCCATATATGCTTTAGCTACTGTGCTTGCACAGAAAGGATGAGTTATTAAAATGAAATGAGCACATTCAATCAGACGATCCACTACTACTAGAATGGTGTCCTTCCCTTGAAACGTATGTAACCCCTTTATGAAGTCCATAGAGATGTTAGTCCAGGTAGCTTCATGAATGGGAAGGGGTTGTAAACTTCCGGCTACGGCTTGTATGAGGGGTTTATTCTGCTGACAAATTCTACATTCTTGAATAAATGCTTTGGAATTTAAAGTACAATAAAATAACTTTCTAATTATTTTGATAATAATTCCCTAAACATAAATGATAACTAATTCATGTATTTCTAACAAAAGTTTAGTAATAATTTAATTTGTGTTATGAATTAATATAATTTTATGTGTGATTCTTATATTCTTAACTTCATGTATAGTTCTTCAATTTTGTTGCACAAAACGAAAAAAAAATTATTTAAATGGATTGGAGAACTTTGGACCAGAAAGTTGTTAGGATTACAACCATGTCTCTTCTTTTCGATACGAGAGGCGAGACCGGGATTTGGGCAGGCAATGACACTCATATATCGGGCTGATATTAGCATGTTAGTTCTCACATGCGACCGCAACATTATTCACTGTTTTGATAAAATTGATCCATATTTTGCTCAAGCGCATCTGGAAACTGAACAAATAATCTTGTATGCGGCAGTGCTCACTTTAAAATAGGTAGCAGAAAAAGAGGTTGCAATTTTACATTGCACTTTGCCCTCACCTAGAGCAACGGTAGATGCTGAATTTTCTGTTGATTTAGAAATAGGTATGAAGCTCTATATGAGTGATCATACCTATGGGTATCAACGACTTGCTCACACTCGTGGAACGTTGAGTACACCAGACTTGGCAAACAATCTCAGTTATGTTTATTAGAACATGATTTGCACTGAAAAGGAGCAGTTCAGGAGCCGTCCCAGTGGATGTCAGTGGGAAGATTGTGGGTTTCCACATTGCAGCAATTGAAGTTCATCCAACGTCGAATTATCTGACACTTGAAATAGATCTTGATGGAGAGGTGAAGATGATAGTAGTGCTTCAAGAGGTGATAAGGGTTTTCAAGGATTTATACATGCGACATTATGACGAGGAATGCATTAGACATATCGATGTTGCAAATCCATCCATTTGGTTGCAACATATTGCAAAAAGTCATCAAACTAGGTTATCAATGATGCCTACTTTGAATCACAAGACACCGTGTCGAACACTTGATCTTCCGAGATCTAGCTCAAATCCAGATAAGGGTTCTAGCTCACATTACTTGTTGCATTCAGATTACTTGTTGGATGGGTATCCTGATCTGCTCCCGCCTTTCGATTCTGATTCTGTTGGTCCTTACAATCAATTTCTAGGAGATTTGTGATGAGATTTTTTTAACCTAATTAGATTCTACCAACGCTTATTATTCTACATTTTGACAATCACTTCATTAAGGCGGGAACGTTTCTATATTTATTTCTGGGAGTAGTACAAAAACTTTGGTTTTGCACATGTGGACATAGAGTCCTGATGAGTGTATTTTTGTTCAAACTTTGATTTCTGTAGTTGCGACAGGAGCATTAGAGCTATAACCTAATTTGCTGACTTTTTGCAATATGTTGCAACCAAATGGATGAATTTGGAGCATCGATATGTCCAATGCATTCCTCGTCATAACCCCGCATGTATAAGTCCTTGATAACCCTTAACATCTCTTGAACCATTACTGTCATCTTCATCTCTCCATCAAGATCTATTTCAAGTGCCGGATAATTCGACGTAACACGAACTTCAATTGCTGCAATGTGGACACCCACAATCTTCCCACTGACATCCACTAGGCCAGCTTCTGAACTGCTCTTACCTGAGTGTAAGACATGTTCCAAAAAACATAATCCGAGATTGTTTGCCAAGTCTGGTGTACTCAATGTTCCACGAGTGTGATCAAGTCGTTGATACCCATAGGTATGAGCACTCATATAGAGTTCCATAACTATTTCTAAATCAAGAGAAAATTCAGCATCTACAGTTGCTCTAGGTGAGGGCAAAGTGCAATATAAAATTGCAACCTCTTTTTTTGCTTCATGTTTTAAAGCGAGTACTGCCGCATACATGATTATTTTTTCATTTTCGAGATGCACTTGAGCAAAATATGGATCAATTTCATCAAAACAGTGAATAATGTTGCGGCCGCATGTGGGAAGGGAACTAACATGCTACTATCAGCTCGATATATGATGGTGCCTGCCCAAATCCCGGTCTCGCCTCTCGTATCGGAAAGAAGAGACATGGTTGTAATCTTAACAACTTTTGGGTCCAAAGTTCTCCTATCTTTTTAAATTTCAATAATTTTTTTCGTTTTCTGCAACAAAATTCAAGAACTAGGAATGAAGTTAAGAACATAAGAATCACACATAAAATTATATTACCTCATAACACAAATTAAATTATTACTAAATTTATGTTAAAAATACATGAATTGATTATCATCTATGTTTAAGAATCAAAATAATTAGGAAGTTATTTTAATTCTACTTTAAGTTTCAAGACATTTATTCAAGAATGTAGAATAAGATTATAGTAGATGGATCTTTTGTTATCTAATCCATATCACCTTCAAACATATGGCCAAACAGAGATTTTCAATAAAGGATTGAAAACCTACTTGAGATGCATGAGCATGGAATAACCAAAGGAGTGGGCAGCCTGGATTCCTTTGACAAAATAGTGATACTACACCAATTATCACTTTGAAATCGGAAAAAAACCATATGAGGTGGTATATGGTAAACCTTTATGATAATACATTATCCGTATATGCGAGACATTTGCTTTTCCATCACATAACTTGATATCAATCGTGGCACTTCATTATGATCTCGATGGTCAGCAACATGCTCACGATGCCCTTGGCGAACAATTGCCCTAGTTATGCGTGTAAAACATTGACTGACGGTGCATTTCTTATTCAAGTATTTCTTTAAGAAGGCGTGAGTCCTTCCACTCGTTGACTGCTCAATTGTGAATTTATACCCTCATCGTAGTGAAAAACAGGGGTCTGAGCTCCAATTCCATTGATTATTGCATCCCGACTAGAATTTGTTGAAGCTTCTCAGCTTCATCTCCTCCGACGCTTATTGGCGTATTATCTTCATCAACTTCACTTATCTACATTTACGTAATTCCATTTTATCCGCTTTTTGTCGCCAGATTCTTCCTTATCAAAATCACGTAACTTTGAAGTTCAACCATTGGGTCAAGGGTCAAAAGATACGGACTACTTATATAGTACAGACTACAGAGTATATATGGAGTAGTATTATACCGTGGGATCGGTCCACCATGAACAAAAGAGCAGAGCGTCATTTTTTGTTTCCCATTCTGTTCCACTTCCTGTTGATCAAGGAACTCTTCCTCCATCTGTTCAAGCTTCCGGAACCTTGAAGCTCCACTCAAACCTTAGCACACAAATAAACATTGAAATTATGTGGTCCAATTTTCACCTAATCGTACGTGGCCACAAGGGAAAGTTAGTTTGCAATTGGAGAGCAGAGTAACCGTGAGAAGCCAAGAGGCAGCTTCCAGCCCCTTTCGTTTCCGCTGCTTCCGATCATCCTGTTCAGGCGGCGCTGCCGGCTAAACTTCTTATTCTTCTTGTCTTCATTTTTACGATCTCAAGGGAGTCGCCAGTTCAAACGGCAAAGAGTTCCCTGACCCAACTTTCATCTTTTAATAAGCGTGTTACATTTGTAATAACATGAGTTAGACCAAAAAATAAACCGCTACTATTAAAACAAAAAAATAAAGATTTTATTTTAAAATCATTTTTATGGTCATGATATTAAAAACAAAATATAGTCATGATCTACGTAAAGTAATTGTGAAATAAGACTATCTTTTTTCATTGTTTACATTGAGATTAATGTTTTTAATTCTTATACTATATATTTGGCAAGTTACATTTCGATTGGACTTGAGTTACATTGATCAATAACGTGAGTTACAATTCTTTACACGCGAGTTACCTCATTAATGCTACTGGAAAAAAAGAAAAAAAAGTTACTGTTCACCTCATTACTGCAAGCTTTTTAGGCTTGCAGGGTCATGTAGTACAATTTCAAATTGGACAAAAAAGAGACTTAATATTACTAACCGAACCGAAATACCCTTAATTACCCAATCCTTCTCCAAGTGGTCTGTCAATTCCGTCGTTTTCAAATCTTCCTTCAGTAGCCCACCTTCATCGCCGCAAGCCATCCGCCCATTGCCGCACCTCCATCGCATCAAGCCAGAGCCAAATCATCATCGCCTCAAGGCAGAGCCAAACCACCATCTCCCATCTCCGCAGCGCCTCCATCATCACAATTGTCCAACCGCCGCACCTCTATCACAAAAGTTATTTCTTCTCTTCTCTTGAGATCTATATTTTCTTTTAATAGGTTGTTGAGACGACAATCTTCACCTATCCGGTGGGCCAGTGTTTCAACAGTGTGCCATTTCGGTCCCAAGGAGACGGTAATGGGCTGGCGGCTAGGGTTACGGGCCTTGGTGGTGGAATGGCGGTTGAGGGATATGGTTGGGGTTGGGGTTTGAGGCTGGGGCCAAGGTTGGGGGCAGGGCTAGGTTGATGGGGATGGGGCATGGCTTGTGGAGGAGGGTGGCGCGGCTAGGCTGATGGGGAGCAGGGCAGGGCTGGGGTGATGGGCGCAGGTGTAGGGCTGGGGTGATGGGGGCAGGTGTAGGGTTGGGTGATGGGGGGCAGGTGTAGGGCTGGGTGATGGGGGGCAGGGTAGGTGACGTGCACTTGTCGTGAGGTGCACTCAAAATAAATCGATACTAACACTTATACGTAGTATAGGTGAAGTAGAGTTCGTATCCACAGGGAAAGGAATAATTATCTTTTTAATGAAATCAGTAAATAAAAAAGGGGGGATTTGGATTTGAATGATTTAATTTAATTTAAACACTAAGTTGAACGACTTATATGAGTTTAATTCAAGAATAAAATGAACTTGACTTTGCTACTTTCCACTTGTTGATATATTTTAGTCGATCCTTGTTATATCTATAACTTATCCCCTCTCGAATACCTAATCGAGAAGTATATCCAATTCATCGAGGGTAGTTATTAACAACGACCGTTCATTAATAACCCTTACTATTAATCAAATATAGAACAACGCCTTATACCGATATAATAATAGCATTTAACCTCTAAAACTCCTTGATGAAATCAATTGAGATTGATAAACTTGACACAACGGTTTCGGTTTAACCAACAAAATTAATTCCTCTTAAGTTTATTAACCACGACCGTGCATTAATAAATCGAAGTTACTTACTTGTGAAACCATCAACAATTAACCATCAGTTCGTTGATCGTTTCTAGTAGTAATTAATGTCGGAATGTTAGCTAATCGTCACTTAGCAACCCTCCAACATTAATGTAGAATGAGATTAAGGGAAGAATTAATAATCAAGAGGAGAAGTTAAGAAAATAACTCACAACTTTAATAATCAACAAACTTCAAGAGCAAAACCAAGAAATGGAAGTTTAGCTCCTCATTTGGAGACCAAACATAGCTAGAAAAATATAAAGAAATTCTATTCTAAATTGAGCTTAAGAGTATATGTGAATTGGTGAATTAATGAGGAGGAAATGAGGTGTATTTATAGGCTTTTTAGGCTTGCAGGGTCATGTACCCGATCGGGCTTTAAAAACACTCGATCGGGTACTAGGTTTCTTCGTGGAAGCATAAAAATCTGGGACATACCCGATCGGGTATGTCGGCCACCCGATCGGGTATGACTAATCGATCGTGCCAAAATCTCCCCTGCACGTTGCCTTGTTCCCGGATCGACCCGATTTGATTTTTCAGCAACTTACCCGATTGGGTATAGGTCATACTCGACCGGGTACAACACCAAAAATCAGAATCTTCACTTTGTCTTGAAATTTTTGCACCTTCCTTCCATTTGTGAAGTTCACCAATGGTCCCTAGAGTGATCTTGGACCTGTTTGAGCTCAAAGTAGACCTATTCTAAACAAATTACAAACATTTTTGCAAACTAAACTATTACACCAAAAGTGTGTAATTTCCAAAGTAACAATTAATAAAAACTACTTAAAAACACAAGCATAGACATGGAAATTACATGAATGTCAACTCCCCCACACTTAGTTCCTTTACTCGACCTCGAGTAAAACCAAATGTTTAAACAATGTTCATCAAAAGACCATAAGTTTAAAGATAGTAAGAACTAGGAGCTAAGACCACCAAGTAATGTAAATGAGTTTACAAAACAACATTTCCTTGGGTTTAAAGGTCTTCTATGGTCCTCACTTCTTCTTCTCTTCTTCTTCTTTTCCTCTTTCTCCTCAACTTTCTCCTCTGACTTCTTTTTCTTTTTCTTACCTTTATTCTACAACTAATATATTTATGAGAAAATAGCCTCAAAATAGGACTTTTAACTAATCCATAAATGTACAAATAGTACTATGTTGTTTATCTTACCAAAACAGAACTAAGGTACCATCTATCTTCTTATTCTACATTTCTACCCTTACCATAGCTTAAAGGATAATCTTATTTGACATTATAATAAAAAAGAAAAATAACAAAAGGTATTTCAATTTATAAAAATATAGTAACAAAATAAAAGGAAAGTTGAAACAAAATTTTAATGTGTTTTATCTGGTTTTATTTACTTTTAAATTTTTCTTTAAATTATTTTTTATCACTATTTATTATTTTTTATTTTTAAAAAAAATGTTTTATTTTTCTTTTTCTTTTGTTACTATATTTTAATAAATTGAAATACCTTTTGTTATTTTTATTCTTAATTATAGTGTAAAATATGATTATTCTATTAAGTTATGGTAAGAGTATAAATGTAGAATAAGAAGATAGATGGTACTTTAGTCATATTTTGGGAAGATAAATAACATAGTCCTATTTGTACATTTAGGGATCAGTCTGGTCCTATTTTGGGGCTATTTTCTCAAATATATATTACTGGTAGAATAAAGGTAAGAAAAGGAAAAAGGAAATAAATAAATGTAAGTAAAAAGATAGTACGATGAGAAAAAGATCTTTTACAAGGAAATTAATCCAATATATATATATATATAAATGAAATAATAATAAGGAAGAAGAAAAAGAAGGAAAAATGGAATACATAAACATTTAGAAAAATATAATAAATTGAAAAGTAAGGAGTAGTAAAAATAAGAATAAGAAGACAAAAAAGGAGAATAAAAGAGTCAAGACAATAAAAATAAAAACGGAAAAGTTTTAGGAAGAAAAAAGGAAAATGATACGGGGTACTTGGAACCGGTCAAACAACTGATACTTTCATTTCCACTCCCACAATGTGGCCCCACCTTGAGATGAAGATAAGAACAAAAAAAGTAATGACAAACAAGGAGTTCATTCGAACGAAACTATTTGTGATGGGAAAGTACGCTGACATCCTTCACAACTCTATATTTGGGAAATCGTTTAATGACAAACAAGATATCCCTGCCTCTGTGGACAATGGGGGTACACTCAAAATAGCAAAGGAGTGGAAAAACATGTGGGAGTGCTTGGATCATGGAAAGCTAGTGAGGCTAGAGATATTTTACAGCAACATGCTTGATGGTGTTAAAGATATCAAATTGAAGAAACGGATCAAGGAGATCGTTGTGGATTGCCTTGGTTCTTCCTGTTGATGCAATCAGGGAGTCGATAGAACATAAATGTTCTATAATCATACGTTGTTTGACCAATGTGAATTATCAAGTTGTTTTATGATTTGTTTTCATCATTTGCACGTGAAAACTTCGTTTGGTCAATGGGATCAGTTGCATGGGATAAATGATGAAAACAAATCACAAAACATCTTGAGAATTCACATTGGTCAAACAACATATGACTATAGAAAAATTATGCTCTATCGACTCCCTGATTGCATTAACGGGAAGAGCCTAGACAATCGAAAACGGTCTCCTTTATCCGTTTCTTCAAATTGATATCCTTAACACCAGCAAACAAGTTGTTGTAAAACATCTCTAGCCTCACTAGCTTTCCACGATCCAAGCACTTCCACATGTTTTTCCACTCCTTTGCTATTTCGAGCACATCCCCATTGTCACCCACAGAGGCAGGGATATCTTATTTGTCATCAAACGATTTCCCCAAATATAGAGTTGTGAAAGATGCCAGTGTACTTTCCCATCACAGATAATTTCGTTCGAAGTTGACATATCTCCATTATGCTCATATTCACAATGGATCAACACAGACAACATTGCATCACCTTCTTCATTACCTTTTTGTTCCTATCTTCATCTAGAGGTGGGGGCTCCATTGCGAGAGTGGGAATGAAAGTATTAGTTGTTTGACCGGTTCCAAGTACCCCGCTCCTTCCCCGTTCCCACGACCAGATCTTATACCCAAAATCTGAAAGAAGAACCGTATGGGCTGTGCCATAGACAACTTGGACAGGTTCTTGAAACTTATTATGCCCATATTCACAATGGATCAACACAAATAACATTGCATCACCAGTTTCATCTTCGGTGAACCTTGTATCTGGCACAGACCCATGCCTTTTTTCATTCCCCACGACCAAACATCTCTAGCTGATGAGACAAGATTGGTGTGGAACAAACCACAGTCAATCAAAATGAGAGTTGCTGTTCTTGTCAATTCTCTCACTGGTTCGGGGGATAAATGGCTTTGGTTAGTGCCATTACCCATTTTCACCTAGACAAAATGTCGAGCAAACACTTTCCGATAAGCCATTTTGGTTTTTTTATAGTAAAGCTGTGTTGAAAGTCCCAACGCCACCTCATAAACAGGCCAAGGGGATTGAGAATCAAAGGGTTTGACAATTTCCAGAAAGATTCGGCTTTCTTTATCCCCAAACCTAATTGACCATGACTGTTTTCACTAAGAATAGCGCACAATATCATTATCCCCATCGAACGTTTCCCCCTATGATCACTAATGCCACAATATGCTCATTTCCCCATGCCACCTTAACAATAGTGTGCCGATGAAAGCTCCATACAGGTGTTGGATTAGGAGTGAATGTCATACAAATTTTAGCTTCAACTGGATTGTCTTGTTGTGGCGGAGAGCAGTTGCCCCATATATAGAGACCTCCTAGGCTGTCAATTGCTAGAGACATCATTGCTCTGACTTTAACAGAAGATATCTCAGCAAGAAATGAATACAAGTTTTTTTATGAAGGACCAGTCAACTAAAGATATTTATAGAACTTGGGAAAAGGTAGGAAATGGGGCAAAATAGAGGATATTTTAAATGTCTGGTAATATATTGGAAAATCAAATGTTTACATATACTTAGATTTCTTCGTCTTTATAATAGATATATTTAAATAAAACATCCATTAAGAAATAGAACTACGGCTTTTTAAGGATGCTTTTAATTGAAATAGTTTCAATCCCAAACCAGATATAATGAGAAGACCAAACTTTGACAATTGAAAAATTTACATAGAACAATCCCCAACCAGACCAGACCAAACAAGACTTAAGCAGACCAGACATAATACTTCAATCTAATTAAAAACATCCTAAATAGTTAAATCAATTTTTTATTTCCTTCCTGTTTTCTTTTCACAACACTTTCCAAATTTCAAACGGACCCTAATACATGGGTAACCACTAACTGGCTATTCATTTGTTCATAGTTCCTATGAGGGTCAATCATTTGTTCACAATACTTAAAACCTTCTTTTCCGCTTCCTCTCTTGAGGCATTGAGGGAACCCAGTCCGATGAATCCTTCGAGTAAATGAGGAGCTAGCACATTTTCTCCATTTGCACCAAATTGGTCATCCATGTATCAGTCAAGGATTTTAAAATAGTGATGACGAACATTCCTTTATCTGTGATGTATTTTAAAATAATGATGACGAACATTCCTTTTTCTGTGAAGTAGATGCAGTGAGGGTATTTGGAAAATGAAAAAAAAAACTGAAGGATACATGCATCAAAACCTCATCTCCAAATAGACTCATCATCAACAATGAAAAAGACAAAAAGAGAGCACATGAGTTAAGAACAACTATTAGAGTTTATTTGTATTGGGGGCATCTAAATAACATAGCAGTGAATAAACGTCAGCATGTATTTCAAAAGGATTTATAAGATTTACATCAGCATGAAGAGCTACAATTATTTGTTTAAATAGAATCACCTTGACCCGTACTTGTGTAAATATGGATATATGATTTGTTTTCAGTTGGAAGTATGATGAAATTATAAATTTTGATAGGTCTCATTTATGATTTACATGATATCAATGTATAAACTATATAGTGTAGTTTTGAAGAGGTTTAGTGTACATCAAAGAACAACTTCCATGATTGGATTAAGGTCATTTAATGATTACACTCCAAAGTTGAGTGTTAATAAGTGGTGTATGAATTATGTTGAATTCACTGTCCCGTTTTAATATGGCATCTTATAATAATTTATGAGTTCATTCAAATTCAAATACCTATTGTGCAGACAGATTTTTCACTTAGAAAGACCAAAGCATTTAATATTAGAATATAGCCATCAAACAAGGAAAATAAACAGTACAAAAAGCTAATAGTAGCCCTGCCTGCAAGCGCGATACTGTGATAAGCTCCAGCCGCAATAGACACAATCTTAACAGCCGCAGAGCCAAACTCAACTCTGACAGGAAACATCTGGTCGAACTCCGATCCAGTGCCGAGCCGGCCAAACATTCTTGTTCCCCAAGAATAAACGCTCCTATCCGCTGCAAGAGAACACTTTTAGCTCAACAAAAAGATAAATGAAAAAACTTATGCACTAACGATAATGATTAAGTAACAATTGAAATGATAAATTTAATGTATAGAAACCGGTTAGAGCGAGAGTGTGAGCTTCTCCGGCAGCGACTTCGGTAATCTTGTGGGACAGTTTGAGGGAATCAAGTGGTGGCGCGGATGATTGCGAGATTTCCTCCATTGCTGAGAAGGTTTTCAAAGCTGCTCGTTTCTATTCGACTCCATACACGAAGATGCTTATATGGTTGAATTTAAGGATGTTTTTACTAAAGGCAAGGTTCCCACATTTAGTCCCTGAGTATTGTCAAGTTGACATATTTAGTCCTCCCATTATGATTTTGACACAATAATGGAGGACTAAAAATGTCATTATTATAATAGTTGAAGTACTAAATGTGTCACTTTTATGAAAGTTGAAGGACTAAATATGAAAATTTTCAAAAATGGGTACCAAAAGTGTCTTTAGCGCAATAGTCAAGGACTAAAAATGAAAATAATTAAAGTCGAGTACCAAAAGTGTCAATAACATAATAGTCGGAGGACTAAAAGTGGAAAAAACTCTGTAAAGAAAAATGATGTGTGTACTTTATTGACAAGTGGTATTAACTGAGTCTAAACACTGTTTTCATATCCACAAATTTCATGTTTAAGTTTTTAGACGGTGCAGGGATGCAATGATCTTATACATTAACTATATATAATACATACTCCATACAAAGAAAGTTTAAATAAAAAGGAGCATTAACGTGTAAAATATGAATTAATTTCAGTCGTTCAACCGGTCAATATGATACGCAATAATCTCAATGTAATGCATTTTTCGAATAATTCGTATCTGATGAACTTTTCCGACATCTAGACACAGTGAAATTTTAGTAAATATTAAAAAAGTGAATGAGGCAAGATTTATCGTGCACCAGATTCTTTTTGAAACTTCAGAAAAACTGCTTTTGTGTACATGTGTGACATTATCTGCTTTTTGTAGCCGGATTCTTTCTCTGCAAAATCACGTAATTAACTTTGAAGTTCAACCATCGGGTCAAGGGTAAAAAGATACGGACTACTTGTATACTACGGAGTATATACGGAGTAGTATTTACCTGATTAACAGGTGGTCCCATCATTATACCACATCATCATGCCATAACATTTCATAAAATCTACTCTTTCTCGTTATGGTTTATGATGTTTGATTGATGATAAAATAACTTAATCTCTGTTCACACTCTTATTATTTTTAGTAAATAAAATTTACATATTCAGAAACTACATTAAAACCGCTACAAATCCTGATTAAAAAATGTAAATTTAATCAAAATTTGATATATAAAGCAAAAGTAACGTACATGAAGTACCAAGAAATTTATTTTCACTACATAATACGGAGTAATGTATTACAAAGTATTAGACATCCAAAGCAAAATTAACGTATTATTAGACATTTTAGTGAATATTTGGGGGAATAAATTTTATACAGGGTTAAAAGGATTTTTCACTTTTTTATTTTTTATTTTTTTGAAATTTTGTTATTTCTTAACAGGTCCAGTAAACAGGCTTCAAGCCGAGCCATGCTTTTAAACAGGCAAGGCTCAGGCCTAAAAACCAGACCTTTAACTGGTAACAGGCCAGGCTCAGGCCTATAAATTCTAAAACCGGACCGGCCTGGTAAGACGAAAGCCTGGCCTGACCTATTTCCACTCTAGATATAGACTAGTTGTATACTACGGAGCATACACAGAGTAGTATTTAACTATTTATCTGATTTACGGGTGGGTCCCATCATTATACCACATCATCATGCCATAAAATAAAATTGGGTTAATTATCAAAATAGGACTAAAAGTCATTCACTTTGCACACATAGGACCAAAAAATAATCTATGTTTTCATAGGATTAATTATGTGTGTCTTAGACAAATATACCCTTATAGCTATTGAAATGTTTTAATTCATAATAAAATAATAAAAAATAATAAAATTCGTAAAAATACTAACAAATTAATAAAAACATTTCGATAATAAAAATTTAATTATTTTTTTTTCAAAAAATTAAAAAAAAATTAAAACTCAAATTAGACCAGACCAGTTCAGACCAGACCACCAAAGTAAAAACATCCTTAAATTCAACCATATAAGCATCTTCGTGGGCTATTAGAATTTGTTCATATCCCAAGATAATTTATTATAAGCTTTGGTCATATGCCCAAGATAATTTATTATAAGCTTTGGTCATATCCAGTTTAATTACTATATTTGACCCTCTTACTTCTTTGTCCAAAGCATGAATCATTTCCTGGGCTATTAGAATTTGTTCTGAAATATCCTTGTCTTTAACAAACCCAGCTTATTCAACAGAAATAATTTTTGAAAGCAACTTAACTAATCTGGATGCCATTACCTTTGTGCAAATTTTATTAGAGAAATTTGAAAGACAGATTGGCTTGTAATCAGAAAAAGTATGATAGAGAGCAGTGAGAGCAGGGGGCTGTGTGGAAGAGGAGGGTCCGAGACCCAAGGGGCTGCCAGTTTACTGCAGGCGGGAACGGGCTTGAGCCACCGATGCGGTGAACCCTTGATGCGGCGGCAGCCACCGAAATCATGCGCTTTCGAAGCATGATTTGTTTATACAGAACATACACAGTCGGGAAAAACAATAAACCCAAAAGAATTGAAAATGTGAGGGGAAGAGCCTTCACTGCCTTCGCGCGAATCATTCCCAACGCCAAGGAAGCGGATGCGGCGGCGAATTCGAACCCAAGCACCGCCAGAATAGAACAAGCCGGTAGGCGGTGCAGTTTGGCTTCATCAACCGTGACGACGTCTTCCAGGGCGACCTGCCCTTCCGCCCACCACGAGCTCGGCATGGGAGGGCACATCAGACGCCACAGGATCACGACGCGTTCCAACTGACGCTCCACCGGGAGCTCACGCGCTTGCATCGCCGCCTTAACCGCAAAGAATGCCATTGTGTCCCATATCCCGGCATATAAGGCCATGGCAGGTATGGTGTAAATCGCGTCCTCTATCTCATAATAATCAGGACCTACCGCAGCAGTAATTCCCATACATACCGCATTAAACGACAACGATGGCGACGATGTTTGGCCTAAAGCCAAAAGGCTAAAACCAATTTTATTCCAAGATCAGCCCTAATGAATCCTAACAAGGGGTTTAAATACTCATCTACTAATTCTCAAACTAGGAAACAAAATCCTAGAAATCTTAATCAAGTCCAACTAGGAAACAAAATAATAGAGATCCTAATCAACTTCAAAAAGGAAACAAATAATAGAAATCCTAATTAACTCCTAATAGGAAACAAATAATAAAAATCCTAATTAACTCTAAATAGGAAACAAATCAGCAAAATTAAGAAATAATAAATATTAATTAAGCAGCCCGCAACCAGCCCACGAAGGTGGGCTCAAGCCCGTTCCCGCCTGCAGTAAACTGGCAGCCCCTTGGGTCTCGGACCCTCCTCTTCCACACAGCCCCCTGCTCTCACTGCTCTCTATCATACTTTTTCTGACTACAAGCCAATCTGTCTTTCAAATTTCTCTAATAAAATTTGCACAAAGGTAATGGCATCCAGATTAGTTAAGTTGCTTTCAAAAATTATTTCTGTTGAATAAGCTGGGTTTGTTAAAGACAAGGATATTTCAGAACAAATTCTAATAGCCCAGAAAATGATTCATGCTTTGGACAAAGAAGTAAGAGGGTCAAATATAGTAATTAAACTGGATATGACCAAAGCTTATAATAAATTATCTTGGGCATACTTGTATGAGGTACTGGCTGTCAATTGTATTGAATACCTCTCAATGTGAGGGTTCTTCCTATTATATAGAACAATTACAAGAATAAATAAGGCAATTAAAATCTACCTATTAATTACAAGATACTATACAAAAACATACCATAACTAGAGAAACTAATTATGGCTAAATATACAAAATATATATGCTATATCTGATTGACATCCCCCCTCAAATTGATGCTGGTCGATCAAGAAGCATCAATTTGCCCACAAGGAAATGATGACGCTGTCGTGTCATGGCCTTTGTGAATACGTCAGCTATCTGAAGATCAGTGGAAACATGAGGAAGAGATATAACACGAGTGTCCAAGGCTTCTCGAATAGAATGACAGTCTACTTCAATATGCTTCGTACGTTCATGGTAAACAGGATTAGCAGCGATTTGAATGGCACTAGTATTATCAGCATGAAGAGGAGTAGAATCAGATTGAGAAAAACCAAGCTCAGCCAGAAGCCCACGAAGCCAGACAATCTCAGAACAAGCAGCAGACATTGCCCGGTATTCGGATTCAGTAGATGATTTAGAAATGCGAGCTTGTTTCTTACTCTTCCAAGAAATCAAAGAATCACCAAGAAACATACACCAACCCGTGACAGACCGCCGAGTATCAGGGCATCCGGCCCAATCTGCATCACTATAAGCAACAAGACGAAGAGAAGAGCCAACTGGGAAGAACAACCCACGGCTAGATGACCCCAGAAGATACCGAATGATACGGCGGACAGCAGCTAAATGAAGATGGCGTGGAGTCTGCATAAATTGGCTAACCTGCTGAACAGCGAAGGAAATATCAGGCCGAGTAATAGTCAAGTAGTTCAAGCTGCCTACCAACTGTCGGAACATAGTAGGATCAGAAAGAAGATCGCCCTCCTCACTTCGATATTTCAAATTGACCTCCATAGGAGTATCCACCGAAGAAGAATCTTGAAGACCAGCTAGGCGAATCAAATCCTGGGTATATTTGTGTTGATTTAAGAATATACCTGAAGGATCAGTGTGCACCTCCAACCCCAAAAAATACGTAAGAAGACCAAGGTCTTTCATATGAAAAGAAGCCTGAAGATTCTGCTTGAGATGGGCAATCAAACAGGAGTCGGTGCCAGTAATGACAATATCATCCACATACACAAGTAAAAGAACAAGTCCAGCTGGAGTCTTACAAAGGAACAAAGAAGAGTCATATTGGCTTTGGGCAAAGGAGAAGTGAAGCAGAGTTGACCTGAATTTTTCAAACCATGCCCGCGGAGCCTGTTTTAAGCCATAGAGAGACCGCTTTAACTTACACACAGCGGAAGATGGCGAAGAAAACAAACCCGGAGGAGGAGTCATGTAAATATCCTCTTTGAGATCACCATGAAGAAAAGCATTCTTGACGTCCATCTGGTGAAGTGGCCAGCCTTGAGAGGCGGCAATAGAAATAACTGTACGCACTGTGGTCATCTTCGCCACTGGAGCAAATGTCTCCTCATAGTCCACCCCATATTCTTGCCTGTTTCCAAGAGCAACTAATCGTGCCTTATACCGATCCAGAGTCCCATCAGAGCGGAGCTTAATCGAATAAACCCATTTACAACCAATGACTTTAACATTAGAGGGGCAAGGAACCACGTCCCATGTATGATTGTCCTGGAGAGCCCGAAGTTCCTCATCCATCGCTTTCCGCCAACATTCATATTTAACAGCCTCGGAAAAGCATGTAGGGATGGAAATAGAAGACAAAGTAGTATTAAAAGAAGTGTGGGGAAAACCATACCGATCAGGAGGACGTGATACTCGGGTAGATCGTCGAGGACCAGATTCAGGAACTGTCTCAGATGGTGGGTCAATCTCAGGAGAAGTGGTCTGAACAGATTCAGATGAAGGGTCAGTCTCGGGAAGGGGCAAAGTCGGTCGACGTCGAGTATACACCATTCCAGGTTTGAACCGTTCAGGCAGAGGAGACAATTCATCAAAACAAGGGATAATACTAATCTCAGGCAATGATTCAACATATGTAGAAAAGAAATATTGATTCTCAAAGAAAACAACATTACGAGATATACGAATTTTGTTAGAACAAGAATCATAACAAACATAACCTTTGTGAGAAATACTATAACCCATAAAGGCACATTTAACAGATTGAGTAGAAAGTTTATGACGTTCGTGAGGAGGTAAATGAACAAAACAAACACAGCCAAAAGTATGCAAATTAAGATAGCTAGGATGTTGATGATACAAACGATAATAAGGAGAATCAAAATCCAAGACCTGAGAGGGCATTCTATTAATTAAATAAACTGCAGTAGATAAGGCCTCAACCCAGAATTTAGAAGGAACAGAAGACTCAAGCAATAAGGTGCGAACAACGTCCAAGAGATGTCGATTCTTTCGTTCAGCAATGAGGTATAAGGACAAGAGCGCTGAGAGACAATTCCTTTGTGATTTAAGAAATCATGAAACTCGTGGGACATATATTCTCCACCAGAATCAGACCTCAAAATCTTAATACCTGTAGAAAATTGGGTCTCAACATATGCTACGAAGGTCTGAAAAACAGACAAGACCTCAGATTTGGACCGAAGAAAATAGACCCAAGTATACCGACTAAAATCATCGATGAATGTCACAAAATATTTGTATCGAGCATGAGAAATAATAGGAGAAATACCCCATACATCACTATGCACAATATCAAAACATTTTTTAGCACGACTACCATGAGAAGAGAACGAAAGAGTCTTACTCTTACCAAGTTTGCATACAGAACAGTCAAATGACAAATTTTTAGAAACTTGTTCTTTATTGCTTAACAAACACGAATTTAACATATGAGATAGAACAACAGACTTTGGATGACCCAAACGTTTGTGCCAAACTTCATTTGGAGTGTTAACAGACACACAAGCCAAAGATAAACAACTAGGAATTGAAAAGTGTAGTGGAAATAGTCTTCCAACTTTAGGCCCCTTCGCGAGTATCTTCCCCGACACCTGATCCTGCACAAGACAACCATCACGAGAAAAATGGACATCACAGTTTTTTTCAACTAACTGGCCAACTGAAATAAGACTATTAGACAGTCCAGGAGATACATAAACATCTCTGAATGAAGAATTGATATCCCCTACTTCATTAATAGCTAAATGACTCCCATGAGCTACTTGAATATGAGATGAACCATGATATGGACGAACATTGCAAAGCGTATCAGATGAATTGGTCATATGATTGGATGCAGCAGAATCAAGAAGCCAAGACTTATATGAAATAGTACCATTACCTTGGAGCCCTAAGGCGGAAAAGGCTGACATAATCATCTGCTGAACCATTTCAGGAGTAAGAACAGATGATCCGCCCGTAGAAGAAGAAGCTGAGGACATCACTGGAGCAGAAGAGGTGTTCACTGCAGCCTGATAGGCGGTAGCTTGACGATTCTGAGGCCGAGTGGGACATTCTTTGATAAAGTGACCCTGTTTCTTACAATAGTTGCAAGATTTCTTAGCACAGTTGGCGGCAATATGACCATACTCCTTGCAGCTGAAACATTGAACCTTGCGCATATCCTTACTTTTCCCTTTCCCGTAGGCGACATAGGCTACTGGATTTGGGTTTGAGTCTTGCTGGAATGTAGCCTGTGTAAGAAGACGCTGCTCCTCACGAAGCAATTCTCCAAAACAAACATCCAAAGATGGGGAAGGATCCCGATTCATTAAATTGGAGCGAGTGACCTCAAATTCAGGGCGTAATTTCATCAGAAATTGATCTCTCTTGCTCTGCTCATGAACAGCCTGAACATCAGAGAGAGATGCAGCAGGTACCTTCGCATAAACCATATCAGAAAATTCTCCCCACAAATTCTGAAAACCAGAGAAATACTCCTGAATGGAGAGATTGCCTTGAGTGTAATTAGCAATCTCATATTCTAACTGAAAATGACGTGCAGTATTATCTTGGTGATAAACCTTCAACAAATACTCCCACATAGTTTTAGCCGACTTATAGGGCCTCAGATTGAGCACAATAAGAGGATCAACAGACCCTAAGATCCAGGACATCACATGTGCATCCTTAACCATCCACTTAGCCAAATCGTTAGTCTCCGTAGGAGCTGGATCACTACCGTCAATATGGCCCCACAATTCTTTTCCCATAACAAATAATTTAAATTGAAATTCCCAACCAGTATAATTTTTTCCAGTAAAACGAACCCCAAAAGTCTCACTAGAAGACATGATGAAAAATAAAAATCAGAAATTATAAAACCTGATTAAGAGTAACAGGGCCACCAGAAGTGTTGAACAGCAAGCCCAATCCAACAGCACCAACCAGCAACCAGCAACCCACCAGAATAGCAACCCAAACAAAGAAAACAAGCCTAGGCAGCAATCAACAATCCACTCAAGTCTACTCTGGCAAGCGATAGCTGCAACAGAAATCGCCGGCAGGCTTCTCGAAGCCTCCACGCCGACAGCCTCAAGAAAAAATTCCGGTAAGAGTAACCTTTCTACCCTCAACAGAACTTTTGCTACCCTACCCTCAACAAAAAACTACCGAATAGCAGTTTAGAACCCTCTCCAAAATTATCGACAACTCCCCTGAAGTCACCGACCGCCAAAGAGACCAATTGCTCAGTCCCGACCCAACTCAAAAAACTCGTATCACAACCCTAATTTAGATGATTTAGGCTCTGATACCATGTCAATTGTATTGAATACCTCTCAATGTGAGGGTTCTTCCTATTATATAGAACAATTACAAGAATAAATAAGGCAATTAAAATCTACCTATTAATTACAAGATACTATACAAAAACATACCATAACTAGAGAAACTAATTATGGCTAAATATACAAAATATATATGCTATATCTGATTGACACTGACTAGGTTTGGCTTCTCCAAAAAATTCATTTATCTGGTCATATCTAACCTTCACTCTACCTACCTTTCCATTCTTATTAATGGGAGCCCTCAGGGGTTTTTTCATCCCAAAAGGGGATTTAAATAGGGTGACCCCCTATCCCCTTTTCTGTTTATCATAGCATCTGAAGGCTTTTCGAGAAGTTTAAAAAACAGGTTGGAGCAAGGGATTATTAAACCTTATTGTCGGGTAATATTGGATATAGAAATTACTCCAAATAGGACTAAACTATGGCAAAAACCCAAAATAGGACTTGTTATGTTTTTATTCTAAAATAGGACCATATTACTCCTATTGGGAACATATCTATTTTTTCATTCCATTCTCACCCCTCCTTTAAATATGAATAAAAGATAGTTAAAAGTCATAATTAAATGTTTAATTCATAATAAATTCGAAAATTTTAAAAAAAGTCGTAGAAAAATAATAAAAAATTGATAAAATATTTATAAAATAAAAATTTTATTTTTCTTTTTTAAAAATAAATTAAAATTATTAAAAAATAGTAAAACTCCATATAAAAATTAAAAAAAATATGGATGTCTTTCCCACCGCCTGTACTACCTCTCTGCACCACCATCTCCGATTGGTGTAAAAAAAGCCATATTTTCTGAAAATTCCAAAAAAATGGCATATTACTCTTTGAGAATGCCAAAATTTCCATTGAATCTGCCATAAATATGGCATTCCTAATGCATGTGCAAAAAATTCCTACTGCTTGTACTGCCTCCCTGCACCACCACCTCTGACCGGTGTAAAAAATGCCATATTTTTCTAAAAACTGCCATTTTTTCTGAAAATGCCAAAAAATGGCATATTACTATTTGCGAATGCCAAAAATTTTCATAGGTTCTGCCATAAAAATGGAATTCGTAATGGATGTGGCATTTTTTTCCCCTGGTGGCTGGAGGTGGTGGTGCTAGGGCGGTAGAGGCGGCAATGATTTTTTTTTTTACGTTTTTTATTTTTTAAAAAAAACTATTAAAAAAATAAACAATTTTTTTGAATTATTATTATTTAAATATTTTTATTAATTTTTTAGTATTTTACAAATTTTTATGATTTTTTATTATTTTATTATGAATTAAAACATTTTAATGGCAATAAGGGTATATTTGTCCAACACACACATAATTAGTCCAATGATAGGAACCCATTAGTATAATAATACTAATAATAATAGAAGTATATTAAATAATTGTGATAGTGTATTAAAGCGTCCTGGGCAGGTACTAATTAGTTTTGAGCTGGCCCATAAGTAAGTATAAATAGAAGGGAGGGAGAAAAAAGAAGGCTGGCAGATTTTGGATTTGGGATTATGACTAGGAGAGACGAGGCACTCTCGAACTTGCCTCAACTTTATCGTTACTTTCCCGTTTCTTCAATTTCAGTTTTCATATTTCAACAATTCATCATCAGATTTCTGTGTATGAGTGTATCTATCATTGGCATCAGAGCCACTTTCTTCCTGGAGGAAGAGAATCGAACCATCGATCATACCAGAGCATCAACAACCTGAAGCTATGAAGGAGATGCACCACAGATTGGGGAAAATTTGTCACAGACTCAACCGATCGCAAGTGCAAGATCGCAATCGACAATGCCATCGCGAACTGTTTCTCCCAGTTCGAAGTCGTTTGTTTCTCTTTGTTCGCAGGTCTTTTCATCATCAGCGCTAGCAGATTCTGTCCACTCTCAGGTTTCCTCGTTCGCAGATTTATCCACTATCAGCTCGCGCCAAATTGTGACGATATCAGGAGGAGACTCCAAATCGCTGAGATATCCCTCTACGAACCCTAGTACGCCTCTAGACAGTGGAGACACCATCAGTTCACCGTTGCTATCCGTGTCGCAAGAGTCAGGCAATCCACAGATGAGCGACGAGAGGAAAAATCCTCTGTGGTGACTCAATCCTTTGTTGCAGGGGAATATGAATCTGCCGTTAATAAAAATGTTGTTTTGAATATTTGGTAAAGTTCTAAAGGGACTATCAGTGATGGAGTATAAACTCCTAGAGAGAAGTCAGAGCTAGAGAGAGAAGTGATTTGTATTAATGATTTCCGAACCCTTTACATGACTCTCATGGGGAGTATTTATAGGGAAAAGCGGGCTAGGCTCCCAAGCCTTGGGGGAGCTATATAGGGCTGATTACATGAGGAGTCTAGTTGTGAGAGCTCTCTGTGGCCGACGGACGTCTGGCCGACGGTGTGGCAGACATAGGTCTGAGAGACGTACGTCTGGCTGACGGAGGTGTGACAGACGAAGTTCCTGGAGACGTACGTCTAGCTGGCAGAGGTAGTGCCGGAGGCCGTTCGTCCCCGGGAGACTGGTATGTGCTGGGGCCCGTACGTCCCCGGGGCCTTCCTATGTGCTGGGCCCCGTTCGTCCCTGATGTGACCGGTACGTATAGGAGGCCGTACATCCCCGGGGCCTTCCAGGTGCTGCAGGACGTTCGTCCCCGGGTGCTTTGTACTAGAGGCCGTACATCCCCGGGGCCTTCCATGTGCTGGAGGACGTTCGTCCTCGGGTGACTATGTACTGGAGGTCGTACATCCTCGGGGCCTTGGTCCTGTTCGTAGTAGTGGAGGTATGTGGGTTATAGGATCTGGATCCATATACTCCATCCATCAGTATAAAGGAAACTGAGGAAATAGAAGAGGAGAATGATGGAAAGAAGCTTAAGGGAATTATCAGCTTCTACACGGATGGAAGAGGAAGTAAAGGTACTGAATGTACTAGAAACTCTAACACGAGGGGGATGGAGGTTCAGGAACTTCCTATTAGAACTAAGGTTGAGGCAGTTTATGCTTATCTTAAACGTCCAGATTTTGATGCATCTCGAGATTCTATGGAATTCTTCAACTTGGTTTTGAGTAAAGTTCAGCAGGTCACTTCTGATACTGGTATGCATTTGAATGCTTCAACAGGATCTGATCAAAAACCTTTCCACAAGGTTGAGATGGGGCAACAGCCAAACACCAAGGTTTCTGGAATGCAAAGTATGAGGTTGTGTGGAGTTAATGTCAATCATAGCTCAACGGGGGAAGTGGGAAAAAGAGTAGAAGTTTTATTTAG